TTATAACCGTCGCTTTTACGTAACCACTGAATAATTGGAATCGGCGCTTTGACAATCGGCCATCTGTGTGTATATTGCCGTGTTAAAATGCGATATATCATTAATACACTTACTCGCGTGAGAAGGGTAGAAAAAGGAAAGGAAAAACAAGTAGAAATAGAGTCGCGTGTTCAGGTGCCTTGCATAATTGTTCTCTAATATTAGGTAATCAAATCAGTCGGTGATGGTGTAAACAAGTGATGTAATCATCGAGATACGTCGGTCGGAAAACAGACCGACCACGAAATCGTACCGACGCCGTACCGCGAAGTACGGAACGAAATTTGGACTTTTTTTTTATTCCTCTACAGCAACCTTCGCGATATCGGAAACCGCTCGACTCGGTCTTACAGCCTTCGAGAGTATCGCTCGCGTTCAAGTTTGCCGTTTTGTAAGTACACTCTGAGCTTCTCTGCTTGCTCGTCTCGTTCGCATTAACTCACGCTCTTGCCGGCCTGCTCCATTTTTGAATACTTCACGTCTTTGTCTCGTCAAGAGGCTGAGTCTAGCTGAAACTGAGATGAGCTCTTGATATTGAGTAATTGTTAACGTCATTGTTCCAAATTTAGTTCCTCTTAAGATACATACAATCAGTAAAGTAGATGTGTCTGTTATGTGTGATGTCACCACGATCGACATTATATCGATACTCAGAAATCAGGGAATTCCTTTTCTGGTGATATTGTTATCTTGTGTTTTTACGTTAGATAAATTAAATTGGAACACAAAAGTATATTATATTTCTATATTTAGATATAGAAAAATTGTGTTGTTTTATTTTGTATTTCACGTTTGCCACTGATAGGAATAAAGCTAAGTTGCTCGTGCGAGGGCGGACCTTCATTACATTCACGATTCACCAGCAGAAAAGTTTTCGCAGTATAGCCAATAAAATGTCACGCTGAGCGCTGCTTCGTGATTCTACTTAATGACTCGATTGCGGTAGTTTTCCGAAATAGACGTAGAAGCGCTCTTAATTGTATCTGAAGAGCACAATTGTATCCAGAGAATCGCGAAATTATCCGGAACTTTATCCGCCTAGGAAGTTTTCGTACTCCGTAACTGTACTTTTGTGACCAAGCCCCCCCGTGAACCTTCTTGGCATCGCTTCAAGTTCCGTGATCACTGTGTATTATTATCGGAAGTATTGTTAGGCAGGTTTAAGAGGGTACCGAGAGCGTTGTCATTGAACACATACAGCGAGTGTCATTCTCTCAAGAGAGACTATCGGACTTTGTCTCTTTCTTCTCTCTCTCTACCACCTTCTCCCCTCTCTCTCTCTCTCTCTCTCTCTATTTAATTTAGGTATAGTTTTAAAGTGAAGTCCTTTGCTGAAGTATTTAAAAGTCAAGTGTGTGTAAGAGACTTCATGTGATGTCATAAGCGAGCGACGCATACAACTTTAGCGGATATTGTATAAATCGCAATATCGAAATCGCTCTTCGACCAACGCCGCGTCTGTAACGCATACGTTAAATGTTTAAACGAATTACGCAAAAATTCTGTATGACATAGCCCATTTTTAACGTTTTTAATCCACGAGCATATTACCGCGATGCTATAACTTTAATAATAAATTTCTTGTTAAGTTCAGGGCTAATTTTTTCTTCGGGACAAAGTAACGAGAAAATTCGTGGCCTTAAGTCTACCTGAATGTAGGAAGTTTCATCGTAATTGTATGCTAAGGATCCACAGGATGTATTCGAGGCTATAGAGATAGATGTAACGGTTTCCCAGTAACGCTTTTGTACTTCTATATTTAGTACCGTGAACGTTATGTGTGTGATTGTACGTACATACGTTAGTACATCCGCTAACTGGCGTTTAAACTTTAAACGGGTTATCCGACTGGTTGGATAAAGATTTGAAAGACATTCAGCATGGCTTAAATATGTTTACGATATCTATATTAGAAAGTTCCGAGTTAACCTTTTACTACACATACACATGGTAAAATTGCACATGACATTAATTAATGCGAACATGCAATATTTTTAACAGAATTTATTTCCATTATTCATATTCATTTAATTATCCTATTAAAAGACGCACTGCTAATTCTTGTAGCGTTAATAATAATGTAAAACATGTTACATTTTAAAAACGTTTGAGAAATTTTGTTACGATCGATTTTTTTATAAAAATCGTCGCGGCAAAAACGGTCGCATTCTCCAGATAGGTATTTGAAGTATAGATTATTCAAGAATTCGGGTATCGAAAAAGCCGTCACATCGACATTGCTCAGACACTAGTGAATTATTACGACGTATTCTCATTAATAAAGTAACGTTTTATTACAAACGCCGCGCTTGATTTTGACGCTTTGCTTGAAATCTAAATTTTCATGGAGAAAATTTTGATCACCGAATAAAATCATGATGTGATATTATTAAATGAATGTTTTCGTTCTAACTCCAGAGTATATTCCAGAGTATTACTCTGGAAAGTTGTTCTATTTATACAAAAATTTATCGGGTTTGTTTTAGCTTAATAATGCTTATATATATTTCAAACATCAAATAATTATCAAGTGTGACATTTTTAGTCATGTGGCATTGTCTATTGCCGATGTATCGGTCAGATAAAAACGAAGTGGAGCGAAGGCAGCAGAGGGTCAAGTGTCTGGTCCAACCGCTTTATAGCACGGTTATTGATTATCCGAGATATTTCTCGTTTAAGAATGCGCCGAAGGGGGAAGAGGGGAGAAAGAAGGAGGGCACAAGTTGCGGGAGAACGATCGAAACTTTGGTGCCGATCGAACTTTCGTATTATACGATCTGGAAACGGATCAAGCCCGTCTGATTCCGGCAGGCAACACAGTTCAAGCGAAATTCTCGTTGACTACGAGAGCGCACGCGAGATAAATCTGTCATTCACACAACGGGAGTATGCAAAATCTGTGCGCGTCAGAGTATACACGGTGCAATCGCAGATTTAACCGCGAGCGTCACGATAAGAATTCTTTCGAGAACCGCCTCCTATGCGATTAATGCTTTTCCTGGCGCGTTTGTGCGACCTTCGAATGCGAATTCGATGCGAGCTGTTTCGATAAGGACATCATGCAAAAGAAATAAAAGAAGCGTTAATCGAATTGCGCTTATTGAGATTTACGGAAGAACTACGTTCTTTTACGTTCTTTTTTCTTCAGAGATCTGTCTGTCGGATCGTGTTTATAGTCGTATTGAGAAATCTAATAATTTTAAGGAGAGATCTTGAAAACAAAAATCGAATAAAATATCGTTTTGATTGCAGTGCACGAAGTTTTACAAATTGAAAGAAAATACCGTTTGTGTATTTATTGTCGTCATAATGTAGTATTTATTAGTTTTATAATTAAATTTAAATATTTTTATAATTTTTTAATCTTAATATCAATAACACAGATTCCATATAAAAAATTGAAATAATGTGAATCTTAGAGTGTCCTTTAATTTTAAAATTTAATGAGTTTTTATTTTTAGATTATTGTGTACTTTACGCGTAATATCAAGAGTGATATTATGATTGACATAATTCTTGGAGAATTACCCATCTTCCTTCATAGAAGGAACTTGGCTATGCATTATATATGCATTAATACTTGTCTAAGATATGTGCTAATTGACTATGAAAAATTAAGATCGGACACGAGACGGATTAGACTCGGGTTAATTAATAACGTTACTCTGCAAACTGAAGGGTTTAATCGAATTACCGAAATCTCATAATTACGTATTGATTACTTCGTACTTCGAATAATATAACGTTATCTATATTCGGAGCTGGATCGATCGAAATGCGGTCCAACGAACCAGACTTCTTCGAGCGTGATGATAAAACCTTCTACGAGGTCTTCTCCCTTTTTTTTTGTTATCTTCCATAGTGTTTAGTGCACACGGGTTATAGAGGTCATTTCTTTGTGTTCTGGTAATTTAATACTCCATGGTTCGAGTGCAATATTCGAACAGTTTCAACGCGGAAACGACGCTAGATTTAATCCTAAATAGTTTAAGTAAGGGTTTAAGCAAGTCCATATGACCTATGAGAGTATTGGATTCTGTGAAATATCTGACACACTTAATATTTTTTCGTAAAACTAGCTATTTTACACTAATGCTTTTTCTTTTAAAATATATATGTATAGAAAAGTCCCCTATTACGAGATAGGCCCCTAATATGCGATAGCGAGGTTTCTGCTAAACTAATAGGTTCTATCTGTTGGTTTCATCATGAATTATTGCCCTTAGAGTAAAAACCTATTTAGTGGAAAATTAATTATTAGATCGTGCGTGCACTCGCTTACTACAGTTTTTAATTCTGCACATAAACTTTCGGCAATCACGCAAAATAAATGTGGTATCTCATAATAGGGGACTTTCCTAGAGGAAATCTATATTATTATTTATTTATATAATTCTATTAATTCTGAAAATTGGATAGAAATTAATCCAATATTTTTCTATGAAAAAGTATTTTTATTATTTTGTATTGTCTCTCTTGGGACAGTCGTGGCCAGTGCGACCGTACGAGAGCGTAATTTCACGACATTTGTTTTTAAAGACAACGAAACATTTAAATAGTGCGTTTACGGTTAATTTCAAACAAAATACATGTGGCGCTGCGCGAATAAGTCATTTACGGTTTCAACAATTTAAACGCGATCACGCGATTAATAGGCAATTCACGTACGTACTAGTGTCGATTTGAAACAGGCCATCACCAAAAGCGATCAAAGATCTTGCAAAATTGATCCGTGCCTTTGTTGGATATATATTAGAAAGCCAGAAACGCGCGATGTATTCACCATCCTGCCACAATTCTTATCATTAACGCTTAAATTCACTGAAAGTGACGTAGCCTCCGGCAAGAAAAACTTATATCTACATTCTACAATGAATCACGAGATCTCGCTTCGTACCGTCGATTCCGAGATACACCGTCACGAGATAAGCGCGCTGTAAAACTCCGTCAAAAACGCGTACCTGGTATGGGAGCATTGAGGAAGGCCTGGTTGCTCGCCACGAGGAACGAGACGATGACGAAGAGGCACCACGCGAGAACGATCATCCTGTATCGGAGTGAGATCTCTGAGCAGCACCCGATATGCTCCGTTCAATCGACTTGTTGAACCGCTCGGCTGAGCTGATCCGTGCACCACGTTGACGTTCACGCGTGTACGCGATCGTTGCTTGCGGAGCTAACGTGCGAGCGAAATTCGCGCGACGTTATTTATCGTACACACGCGACAAACGCGGAAGTAAAAAAAAGCGAAAAAAGAAAAGAAAGAAAAAGGGCACGGTTTTTCGTTCGAAAAGCGAACGAACACGCTTTTCCACTCTTTCTCTCATGTACTCTCACGGCGAGGCGCGCCGCGCGGACGACTCGGCTTCGCCGAGACTTCTCTCCGACCGGTTAGCCAGCAGTGAACTGCTCGTGTTCCTACCTCGGGTATCGTAATATACATAAAGTCGCCAGATAAGCCACGGCTGACACCCCACCACCACGGACGCGCCTCGTCGTGGGACGGCCCGTTTCTGCTCGCTCTCTGGTGCGCGCCGCTAAGGAGAGCTTGAAATCCTCGCCTCTCGAGTCTCGACGCGAGGCACAGCGTGGTTTCGCTCGTCTTTCCTGTCCCCTCCCCCCCTGCTGTGGGACGATAGGTGTCACGACGCTTGTAATTCTTCATTGTGAGCATTTAATATTCTTCACTGTAATTACAATTAGCGTTCCTCGCACCCTCGTTGATTAGTGCGCTCCAATTAACGATATATAGCCTGCGGCATTGCGGCATTTATATAAATAGACAATTTCAACGTAATTTTAAGTATCATATACAATTAATGATGTTGTGTATCCTCGATTTAATCAGTATCTAAAATCATCAATTTGATTGATATATCTTTCGTATATCTAGATTCTTGAAGCGCATAGCGGTTTTTTTCTTTTTTTTTTGAGATGTAAAATGTGCAAAGGAAGGAGCGGTCTGTTGAAGGTCACGTAACTTCAGATATACCAATGGCGTAGAGATGTTCACTTAACAGGTCTCTCGTTGATAGTTGGCGAGTCGATCGTCAAATGATGAAAAAAGACTATGTCCGACTGTATTATAAAAAGTCGCACAGTTTCTCTCAGTCATGCTGTGAAAATATTGACACTGTCGATCTCAAAGTGTTAAGGTCACCTAATAGTCAATCAGTGAAACGGCTCGAAGTCCTCATTGCACACAATACGATTGCTATTATGCTTACTTCCGCGCTTGTTGATCTTGCCGAACTGCGCGTCGGATTTTTGACGAAACGCGGAGACGCGATTCGATCTTTTAAGGACGTTCACCGGTCTTTATACTAGAAAAAATCAAAATTTTATAGATTTTCTTGAAATTGTGAATATACGTTAATTTAGGTGTGCTTTATGCGTGGTATAAATTTCAGTACCCCTTGCGGTATAAAAATCGAGATATTGAGCTTCAAAGTTTAAATTTTTGCCAAAATTTAGTAAAAGTTGAAACTTTGAGGTTCAGTATCTCGATTTTTATACCGCAAGAGGTACTGAAATTTATAACACATAAAGCACCTAAATTAACGTATATTCACAGTTTCAAGAAAATCTATAGAAAATCGATTTTCTATAGTATAAGGACCGGTGAACGTCTTTTAAGGCGTCGGACGTGCGAACGTCATCTGAAATCCTCTTTCTCCGAGCTTACCGACGTTTCTATAAGCCTTCTCTCCTCCGTTCACACATACGCCTGCTCTTCGAATCGCACGACGGCAGATATCGTCATATTTCTCTACAGTATCGCCGTACGATTGAAAAAATTCGTCGGAAATAATTTACGTGGCGCCTTTTCAGCTCACGGCTGTATCTTTACGCAATTCACACATGAAATGGCACGGAGAGACAACAGATATTTATAATTCTATAAAGTTACCGGAATTATAAATATTTAAAATTTTTTCTCTTTCTAGTGGCATTCCGTGCAGAAATAGTGGAAACTTATGTAGTAATCATAATAACTTCAACGAAAATTTCGTGTATCATGCTGCTCCAGTACAAAAAAATAGTAAACACTACATAATCTCTGTTTGTATGTACAAGAAAAATAATAAGAAAAAGAATTAGAAAATAATTAAAAGGATAATTTTTGCACTGTTTTTTTTTTACAAAAAAATAAAGTCTGAGCAAATGTGAAAAATTTGCTTATATATATAAACATATTTTATATACAATTATTACATTTATATATGATTATGTATATGATTACATATAGGCAAATAAATGAATAATGCAAAAACAATAAAAAAACAATGCAAAAATTCTCATTATTTTCTAATTCTATTTCTTATTATTTTTCTTATACATACGAACAGAGATTGTACAAGAGAAAAAAGGTATATATATGGACATATTTTATATAATATTTTCTACAATATCCCAGGTAACACATACACGTTTCAGAAATGTTTTAAAAGCGTTTTTTCGAAACGTTTTATAACCGATTTCTAGAAATGTTTCTCATGAGTAAAAATATCCATTCGAAAAACGTTCGATGAAACGTTTCTTTTCCAATAAAATAACGTTTAAAAACTATTATAGAAACCGTTTGTTTTAATGATAAAGAGATTTTAGATAGAGATTTAAAATTCCTACTTTTCACGTCTTTTGAACGTGTTTATGACGTCTTTGAGTCATGCGTGAGAATGTTTTAGAAGCTTATTGCATATACCATCTATGGCGTCTATTCTTTTTCGAAGAAATTCCTGAACTGGTGCACATTCGTGCAATAAGTTAAAGTGAAACAAAATATACTTGTCTCATTCTAACTTAATTGCATTCCTGATGTGCACCAGTTCAGGAAGGATTCTTCAAAACAGAACACACGTATAAATGTTCTTTCAATGGCCACGTTCAGCCGAACGTTTATTTTGCAACTGTTGGAAGTTTTCTAAGCTCAGGTTTGTCCGATGACAAATAGATTAAGACCGCGGTAGAACAAAATTAATTTAAGTAAATAAGTGAATATATGTGCATGGATAAAATGATTTATTTTGTGCAATAATTAGTGCAATATAAATTTAAATGTTTCAAAAAAGGCTATTAAAGCTATTATATACATATATAGATAAAAGCAAATTATAATTTTGAAAGAAAAAATGTAAATAGGTATTTTTGTTAACTGTAGAAACGTAAAAAATATGTTTTTTAAATTATGGTTTCAAAAACATTTTTGTTCAAACGTTTCTTAATAGTTCTTTACGGTTATGAAACTATGTATACGTTCAAAAAACGTACATGAAACTAATATGTGCTACCTGGGATTATATGATTATATTGATTATATATATTTATATATGTTTATATGAAAAATTGTTCATCGGCATGCCTTCTAAAAACAGATGCGCATTTTCTGCTCCGGTGGAAATAAACAACAAAATCTTGCGTAAATTATACATACAGTTTTTTTCGATAAGATTTGGCATATGTTTTACCGATACGACGCAATGCGTTCGAGAGGTAATGATTAATGAGAATCATATGATGTATTTCTGCCGATAAGAAAATCATTCAGTCATGATGATGAAAAGGCTTTATTTTTCATGAAACGATAAATGCTGTAGAAAAGAGTGAGAAAACTCAATGAAAATCCCGTTGCGTCATTTTCCTCGGAAGTATTATAGTCGTCGCAATTAATATGACGTTATGCGTTACCTTACGTTACGTTGCTGCGTTATCCGCGCAGATGCAGCGCTGAAATAAAAACAATGTAAAATTGTTTTCCGATCGAATATTTTTATTACTTTTAAAACCTCTTCTGCCAATAGTCGTGCTAATCCGACCGCGAACGATCGTGACGATCGACTAAAAATATCATTGTAATATTGATACCTGCATCGTTCTTCCGTGTCATCGTCCATCCACGCGATAAGGCTCCGCAAACAATTATTTTCTGCCGCCATCACAATGGCTTTAAAATTGAAATAATAGACCTTGATACGCGATATCTTTAATATGTGATCTTATCTAGCATTATTCTCTGAATTCATCGTTGAGGTCATCATCCTGATCCGAGACAACATCCGACACACAACAGAACCGAGACGTGAAATGCATGTTACGAGAGATATACAAAAGAGAGATACACATAAATCAATTCTACATGATATTATACTATATTTTTATATCTTTCTTTTTTTTTCTCTTTTAGGGTGTTGTAATTTTATTTTTACATCTTATTTTATTTTACTTATTCGCTTTTTTTTAAAAACCGATTATAATTCCGATGCTTTAATATTTTTAACGACACGTCGCGGTCGTTCGGAAAACCTCACATTTTCTACCAAATAGACCTTGACGATAAATGAACATCTTTATCGTTGCGGCTCTTATGTCATTGTTATGTTACTTGTTGTGATGTCATCGCTGATCTAATGCCACGGCCAAGACCTGTTGAGAACGAGCTGCAAGAAGAATTGATAGAACATTCGCGTTTTGGAATCGGAAGAATAGGAGATTCTAAATCTAGACCCCATTTCCACCAGATATTACAGAACATCGAGCAAACGAACAAAAAAGAACACAGACATTACACGCTTTTTAACTAATGATGATAGAAGTAGACGCGTCTTTATTTATCGTCAAAGACAAACACGAGAAACAAAAGTAAAAAAAATAGGCTACAAAAGCAGGGCTACAAAAACAAGTGCATTTTATCTCATAAATCTTCGTCCCACCGATACCTGTAGGTCTAATATTTTATTATTATATGTATTTATGGAACTCTTAACAACAGAGCCGTTGAAAGTCACAGAATAGAATTGCAGGTCATTTTTGACCCATGAAAAGAAAATATTCCCAAAATCCTAAATATATGTATTGCCTTCTCATGGATAAAAAATAACCTGCTGTTCTATTCTGTGACTTTCAATGATTCTGTTGTTCAGGCCCTAGGGTTGTCAAAAGTGTCCGGTTTTGAACCAGACTGTCAGGTTTTCAGGAGTCTTGTCCGATGTCCGGTTAAAAAATCAAACCGGGCATCTTAAGTCGGTTTTTAAGTATACCCTATTATACTGAATACATTTGAGTATATTAAAATTTGTCAAGGAATGGAAGAAATTTATTCGAACAAAATGCTACCAATTTTTTATCTTCATGCATTTCTTATTTTGAGAAATGGTATAATTTCAAATATAGCCCGTTCCATTTTTCAAATCTTTGTCTGTCAAAACTTGATTCATTACAAGATATTATAAAGACAACAGAAGTTCTCAAATTACAATTTGATGGAGATCAGTTATATGAAGAGTATAGAATATTAAAAATGATGTTGCTCATCATATTTACAAATAACTTACTAAAAATAGTTTAGGCTGTACTTTCAATACCAACAAGTAATGCTTTCCCGGAAGGAGTGTTCAGCTTATGCCCGTTTTCATCAACGTTATTTAAC